ACGTAGGAGGCTGAGGCAGAGGGTCACCACAAGTTTAAGGCCAGCTTGGACTATATAACAAGACCCCGTCTTAAAAAAAAAAAAAGGAATTGAATTGTACCTTGCTGAGCCCCCAAGAGCTCCACCTCCTGCAGTGCTAGCCCTGTCCTGAGTCATCTGTCCCCTGTCCCCTCTGGATCCATGCACAGCCACCCTGCCCATGGATGCTTTTTCCTGAATGTCCCAAGCACAGGCCTTGCAGAAAAGTCTCTGTCAAGAGTACAGACGGGAAAAAGCCTGGATGGTGGCTCCCTGGGGAAACCCCCATGGTACCCCAGTCCCTAGCTGAGCCTGGGCTCAAACCCTGCCGAGGTGGCCAACACAGGAGGGCCAGAGCAGGACTCTCTGAGGCCAGGGAGCGGGGTCTGTACCACAGAAGCGCTGTGGATCTGCCCTCATCAACAGAGCTCTAATCAGTTCCAGGACTGCGAGGACAGAGACCGGAAAGGTTTCTTTCCCAAGTCTCTGCCGCCTGGGGAGCAAGCACGGGGTAGTAATTGAGTCCAGCCTGGGGGACTGCATGAGTCAGCAGCCCTTTCCCACAGGGCCTGGCCTAGGCACAGGGGACACTGTGGCCCTGCCTGAGGGTCCGGGCAAGCACTGAGCCAGCACTGGTGTGCTCTGACTGTCCCCCTCTGTGACTTAGCTCAGGAGAGGCCTGTGTGTCAGGGGAGAGACTGGAGGAGGAGCAAGGGAGGCCTTGGAGCCATGGAGGGCCGGAACAGTCACCTTTGCCTTGACCCCAGTGCTAGGCCTTGCTTAAGACCAGAAAGGAGGCTGGCTTTGGTTTTGTTTTTAAACAAGCCGGTTGTTCTCAGTTTCATGTGCAAGCCAATTGGTACACTTTTCTAATTTGATTTTCAAGTTTATTTCCCCAGTTGGATTACGTGAATTACATCCTGGAGGGAATTAGAAATGCAAAGGCATCTTAGACCTTTTGAATTAGGGATTTCAGATTTGATTTAGGGATTTGAGTGAATCCCACCCATGTAGCGTGCAGAGGAGGGGTTGGATCTGTGTGCTCCGAGGTCCTAGCGTCGGACTCTGAGGCTTCTTCCCCCCGACAGAGGCTCCATCTGGGACAGCAGGAGCGGGAGTAAATGATGGAACTTGTCACTGGAGAGATCTGACTCCACGGCCACGCAGCCTCAGCCAGGATCACCATCCCGTTGTGAAGAGGGGTTGAAAATGCAGGCCAGATCCCCCTGCAGGAGGAGCCATTTGGCTGCAGTGGCCAAGTGTTCCCAGCAAGGCCCCCGCCTCCGGCCTGCGGGTTTGGTCGTGTAGGGGAGGAGGTCTCCTGGGTTAGTGCCCCCTCTGCAGCAGGACTCCTGGCCCAAGGAAGGAGGAGGGGGAAGAGGCCGGGATCCCGTCCAGGGGTGCAGGCCCAGCTCCTGTCCTCTCTGTAGCCGCCACCATAGCACAGGCGTGCAAAGGGCCGCAGCTCCCCAGCAGCTGTGCACCTGAAGGCGTTGCACAAAACCTGCTTTCCTGGGCTTCAGCGGTTTTCATTACCCCGCAGCAACCAACAGAAAGGCACAGACATTCTGGGGCAGTGTCTCCAGCCAGGGCTAAATCATCTGTTTCCTTCTCAGAACTGGAGAGGTTTTTGCTGATGGCTCCAAAATTAAATGCTGAAACTTTTATACATTTTTTTTAAATGATGCTTAATCTGATCAGTGGGACATGTTAGAGAAGTTTCAGGGGGAAAAGTCAACCAAAGACAAGCTCCCTTCAGTAATGAATGAAAAGATAGGAAAGCTGATTTAGGAGACTGGAGTCCTGGAAAGCCCACTGGGGAGCCCCATGCATTCTGCTTGGTTCCTTGAATAACAGGAAAGAGTCATGGGCCATTGTGACATAGGGCTGTGGGGGGGCCCTGCCCTGGACTTGTCCCCAAGTAGAAGCACATGTTGTGAGGCAGGACTGTTGGCCAGCATGGCCTTCTCAGCCGTTAGCTGCGCCACCCGGGACTGTCATGTGTGCCGATGGGTCAGGCCAGCCGGGCCGCCTCTGCCCTCAGACACCTCCTGGCTTCAGGGGTTGGTGCTGACCTTGCAGAGCTGGGCCGGGTGGAGCCTTGCCCGGTGCCGGCAGATCCCAGGTCCTCCCCTCAAGGATGCTCATGACGAGCGGTATGGAAGGGAAAGAATACTTCCCAGTCAGTGCACCCTGGCATGGCGGTGACTGGGTATCTGCAGGGTGCTATGGGCCCAGAGGAAGGAGGTGAGAAGGGAGCGTGAGCGTGGAACCGGTCCGCTCTACCCGGAGCAGGGGAAGGCACTGAAACGCGAAGGTCAGAGGGCTTGTGGCAGGAGCGACAGTCTGCATAGGCAGAGGGTCCCCAGCGCACAGGACATCTGAGGTGGTGGAATGGAAGTGCCTCCATGTGGCTGGGGTAATTGGAGGAACCGAGGCCATGGGCTGGTTAAGAGCGGTTCCCGAGGTGTTCAAAAGTGCAGCTCACACAGTGAAGGGGAGAAGAGGAAAGAGGACTGAAGGAGAGTGAGCCGCGCGTGGTCCTGCCCGCCTGAAATCCCAGCACTCAGAGGCTGAGGCGGGAGAATCGCTGTGAGTTCAAAAGGCCCCCCTGGGCTACACAGGGAGACTGTGTCACAGAAAACAAAAACACAAAAAGTGCTTCTGAATAGCCCCTAAGAGCAAACGTTTGAAACCAGAGGAGATGCTAGGAGGAGTGGGGTGGGCGTGGTGCACGCACCTGGCCACTGAGGCTTTAGAGGAAACCTTATGTTCTAAGCTCAGGGTCAGCGAACAAGAACCAAACTTTCTACTTAGAAATCTGCAGGCACACTTCTCTGTGACACATGGTTACGAGTGAAATCAGAGTTACAAGACAGGTGCCCGTGGGAGGGAACCAAAGGAACAGCGAGAGGGGAACAGGAGCCTGGACCCCCCAGTCAGGCCTCGAGAAACCCGCGCAAAGGCACGGAGCATCCAGGCGGGGGACCCAGAAGGGAAAACACAGCAAACCTACAAAAAAAGCTTAAGGAACTAGAAAATTGAAAACGACTTACAATTTTTTAAATATAAAAGTTCATAAAGCCAAAAACTGTATTTTTAAAAGATGGGAAAAGTAGATGAAACTTTAGACAGATCAGAGTTTTAAAGGAGAGGATGCACAATGAAAAGAGCATTCGAGGAGCATAAATAAAAATAATAGATACCAGATTGTGAAAGGATATGGTGTACATCTTTATCTCGGTATAAATCACTAAGGTCTGTGTGAGTTGTAGAAGGCCTGACTAGATGAGAAACAATGGGAGGAAAATTAAAGTTAGTGAAAGATTTATCGCCAGCATCCAATGGTTATGCCGATGAATTCCCAGCAGCAGGAGGAGCACAGGGAAACATCCACGCAGCTCTGAGGCGGGCAGAAGGTGGCCCCGAAAACAACACTAGAGACCAGTGTCACCCAAGAATATAAAAACCCCACTTAAAATCTTAGCAAACTCGGGACAGGTGTGAAGGAATCTGTTCCGCATTCGCCGTGCTAGGTCCAGATAAAACTATGTCACTTCAGATATTATCTCTCTCTAGAGAGGGAGATTTTCAAGCTTCTGAGAAAATTCAGCCAACGTTCTTGACTAAAACAAATTCAGAACTTTAAAATTCTTGGAAAGCCAAGAGTAAAACATTCAGCATAATCTATAGCAAACATCACACTTAGTGGTAAACCATTAGAATCATCTCCTTCAGAATTAGAAGTAAAGCAAGGATGTCTGGCTGGGGAGGTAGTGTGGGCCTCTAATCCCAGCTACTTGGAAGGCCGAGGCAGGAGCATCACAAATTCAAGGCCAGCCTGGGCGCCTTAGTGAGACCCTGTCACAAAATAAAAACTAAAAAAGGCTGGGGATGTAGCTCAGTGGTAGAACACCCTTAAGCCCATTCCCAAGTACTTAATTTTTTAAAAAAGTCTCTTTACCCACAATTGTTTAATACCACTCTAGAAGTTTTAGCCAACACAAATGGCAAGAAAAGGAAGTGGAAAAGAAAAATAAATAAACAAAAATGACCATTATTTGCATATATAATTTTCATCCAGAAAAGTAAAACTTCATGACTAAAAACTATTTAAACTGACAAGAGTTCAGATAGTTGGACTAGACATAAATTTTAAACATCGGCAGGGATACATTAGAAAATAAAGTCATTCACAGTAAAAAAGAAAGTATTTAAAGATCAATCTAACAAGATCTACAAGGAGAAAAACATCCAGAGTTTCAAAGTAGCTTAGGTTCCCCTTTTGCCAGTTAGAACCCAACCGGTGTAGAGAAGAGTCGACAAGCATTACCTACAAGCTCTGCACTCAGAAGAAATCCTTCCAATATGTAACAGAATTTTACTCTTTTATCCTTTTTTGTCTGGGTTTGTTTTGTTTTGTTTGTTTGAGACATGATCTCGCTATGTAGCCCAGCCTGACCTCAAACACTTGGTGACCCTCCTGCCTCAGCCTCCTAAGTGCTGGAATTACAGGCATGTGCCACCAAACCGCAATCTGTTATGGTACTTTAAAACTGTGTTTATCAGGTTAAAAAAGTAACATACTATATTAAGCAAAAAGGATGAGCCTTTTTAAAAAAGTATATTTGAAGCTATAGCAGGAAGTAGGTAGAAGACATAGAACAGATCCAGAAGGAGATGCTGGACAGGGGTGTTCTGGGGAGAAGCAGTTGGCCTCAGTTTGGGGAAAGAACCCTTGTGATACTGTGTCACAGGGACACACAGATTAGTCCTTCTGGGGACAAGCATGCCCCTGGAAGGAGCTCCCATGGTGGTGGCTTCCATTTCGTTCTTAATCCCTGCCCCTAGCTGCCACCCTCCTTCAGGGCTCTATGGGGGAGCCATCAGGGCTGGCCTGGCCGGGGGCCAGATTCCATCCCCACACAGTGAGTGGCCCAGTGCTGCCCACTCTGACGCTGCCCTGTCTCTCCGCCCCACAGACCGCCCGGGCCTGCTGAATGTGAAGCCCATTGAGGACATTCAGGACAACCTGCTGCAAGCCCTGGAGCTCCAGCTCAAGCTCAACCACCCGGAGTCCTCGCAGCTGTTCGCCAAGCTGCTGCAGAAGATGACAGACCTCAGGCAGATCGTCACGGAGCACGTGCAGCTGCTGCAGGTGATCAAGAAGACGGAGACGGACATGAGCCTGCACCCGCTGCTGCAGGAGATCTACAAGGACCTGTACTAGCGGGCCTGCGCCCGACGCTGATTGCACTAGTATCCAAGGAGAATCCACGCTGGCGACACTTACTGTGAACAAAAAAGCATTTGAAAAAGAAAAGGTTTTAGAATATGATCTATTTTATGCATATTGTTTATAAAGATACATTTACAATTTACTTTTAATATTAAAATTTATCATGTTATAAAATTGTTGAGAGTATTTGAAGACTCTTTCGTGTCCTCCATTGACTCTCCTGAGCTTTTTTCCCCCCCTATTATTTTCTTCCTTCTTTCTATTTAAAATATGGATGGAACTCCTGATTAAGTTTTATTCTCTGCCAAATAATTTTTTACTCAATTTACAACTTTTCTCAACTCCCCATCTGCCTTCACAGTCACAGCTAAGAAGGAAGAAGGAACTTTGGCCCCAGAGCTGCTCAAAGTATGCATTTCTTGTCCTGGATGGTGATACAGCCCCAGGCCTGCCAAGAACTCAGTCTTCCTTCTCCAAAGTTCTGACAAAGATTACCCACACACACCAGTGGCCTTTTAAATATACAGGGACTCATCAGTATCCACTGACCCTGAGACTTCCGAAAGGGCCGAAACAGTGATCCGAGCCTTTATAGAAAATGCTCTTTGCATGTGACCTGTGTCCACTCTCCATATACTCTCAACCCCTCTCCGTTACTTAGAACACCTAACACAATGGAGTGCTGAGTCCACAGTTGTTAGGCTATGTTGATTAGAGAATCAAAACAAGGGAAAATGAAGCCTGTACATGTTCAGTACGGAGACATTATTTCTTTCAAACACTTGATCCTGGTGTGTTGGTTGAATCCTCAGGTGCAGAACCACCTGTTCCCAGGGCTGGTGCCGATGCTGGCCAGGGCGAGCCTTCACTGGACACTGATGCAGCTAGAAGCTCCAGGGGGCAAGTGGTGTTTTATGATCTGGCATCTGCCAAAAAAACTTACAATTGAATGGAGGAGAAAAAGTAAGTTTTCTTAAAACAGGTGCTGACACCGTAGTGACCACGAGTCCACTGAGGGATTCAGACTCTTGGGCACTGTAAGAGTTCTGCAGAGGTAAAGAGTGAGGCAGACTGCATAGTAAGGAGTAAGTCTAAGGCTCCGTGAAGTGGGAATTGTGTTGGGTTGGGGATAGGTGGAGAGTGGCAAAGACATTCTAGAAAAGCAAAAGAGTAACAATAACAAAAGAAAAAGCCAGGCAGAATAGCTACTTCCTGGCTCCTAGTTGGGTGATTCTGCAGTTATTCCTGTCACCCCCTTCGGACAGTTTGTCCAAAGATCTCTTGCTTTTAGAACTGAAAGGCTAATGACCCGTGCCGTATATGTTGTGCGAGCCGCCCCAGCAAATAGATCCTACATACCCTAAAGGCAGCATGTTCAGCAGCTTTTTGTCACTTTGACCAAACACCTAAGATGATCAACTCAGAGGATGAGAGGTTTGTTGTGGCTCACGGTTTCAGAGGTCCCAGTCCATGGTAGGCTGGCACCATTGCTCTTAGGCCTATTTGAGGCAAAACGTCACACAAAAGGCCACACGGCTCAAGGAAGCCAGAGTTAAGGGGCCAGGGACCAGATACAGTCTGCAAGGTCAAGCCCTAGGATCCACTCCCTCAACTCAGCACCACCCTTAGGTCTAGAGGCTAACAGGCAGGGACCGTCTTGGCGCAATTAATAAATGAGCTGATTAATGCCACCAAACTCCAACTACCCATGAACCCACCACATTGTGTGTTTGTGTTTGGTGCTGGGGATGAGCCAGGCCTGGTGTGTAACCAGCATGGGCTCACCATGGAGCCACAGCCCAGGCCCCGCCCTGCGTGGTGGTCTCTGTCCTGCACCCCTTGACCACAGGGTCTCCAGGAAAATTGTTTCTCCCCACACGAGTTACCATCCCTCAGTTTATCTCACCATGTGGTTTTTTTCTACCCAGGAAGACACAGCTCTGAATCTGAGGCTCTCAAGCCCAAACATCAAGAAAGATCCTTTCATCCTTTACTTAAGACTCTGCTGGCTGCAGATGGGGTATGGATGCACATTCCAGCGTGCGCCTAAGACTGCAGACTCCCTAGCCCCCTCGGGGGTCACTTTGGAGCCCAAATCCTCAGAACAGCAGATAACAGCCAAGCCACACTGGGAGTGGAGGCCGAAGCCATTGTCTAAGTGACATGCGAACATCTGGAAGGAAAGTGCCAAATGCAGCCCATCGCCTGGGGAAGTTTTCTCCGCGTGATCTATCTGGAGACATCCCAAGGAAGGTTGGCGCTTCCATCTCCTCAGCGAGCTCTCCTTAGGAAAGAGAACGTGCCATCGTTGTTGGCAAGGCGGGGTTCTGGGGGGACCAGGGGATCCCTTGTTTACAAGATCCTCAAACAAAAAGCCCTTTAGTTCCCACCAGGCTCCAGGCCGGCCAAGCCCTTTCCACATTACTGGCCGCACTACCAGGGCAGGGGAAGAGCCGCTCAGCTCTTTGGCACCAATGCTTAGCATTAAATTAGCTTTTAAATCCTGGCAACTCTCAAACTCCCATCTCTCGGACTCTTTCCCTGTGGCTTGGAAGAGCATTTGCTAAATATTTTACAACACATTATATTCAGCCTCCCGCTCCCGCTCCCCCAGGGCGACTCAAGTCAACCAGCAAATGTGTCCCGAGTTACTCATAGTACTCCACATAGCACGCTCAGGGGCCGTGGTCATCAAAATGGTCAGGAGGCAAAAAAGTTGGGAGGCATCCATGTGACCACAGGGACAATAGGGAACCTGAGGAGAAAGCGGTATCTGCACACCCTATTTCTCCACCACGGTCAAAGCCTGGACTGACTCTGAGCGAGGAAGCCAGATGTGGTGGCACACACCTCTGATCCCAGCTTGGGAGGCTGAGGCAGAAGGATCTCTTGCTCCCAGGAATCTGGAGCCAGCCTAGGCCACATAGAGAGACTCTGACTCCAAAACTAAATAAAATAGCAGGATGCTGGAGTTTAAAATACTGTCCAGCCTCAGGTGCGCCTGCCTGGGGAGGCAAGTGAGGGGACTCACCCTGCCTGAGGGGACCCAGGCTGCTGGTGAGTAGCTACAATTACTCAGCGGAAGTGACAGTGGCTAAAGACGCCAGGACCACTCAGAGGCCGTGGGTTCATATGGGGGCCAGGCGAGGGCTGGGCTGGAGGCATCGGTGTGGCAAAGTTGTCACCCTGAACAGCAGGCTCCAGGCTAGACGGGATCCGGAGATGCTTGGGACCAGGGGCTATAGCCGAAGGAAGAGAGTTAGGATCACGTTTGCAATCGGAAGTCAGCGCTTCCCAAAGTGGAAATTGCCCGACATTGCTGCAAGCAGGGCCTCACCATCCCTCCCTGCCACCCTGTGTTACTAGCAGCCTAGGCCAGCCCTGCCCTGGGGTCACACCCGCTGCACCTCATTCCTGCACCCTGAGGCTGGTGACTCACTCTGGTCCCTCTAATCCACTTCCTGGCTTTGGCCTGGGCCTGGCACTGCCTGCATAGTCGTCCCCTGTGCCCAGGAGCCAGACCTAGGTTCCCCAGGCCAGAGGTCCCCTGCTCCCTCTGCCTCTGCTTCCCTGGCTCCTCAAGGTTGCTTCCGGTCCCCTGTCTCAAAACCTGCCATCTTACTTCCCTGCTCTAGAAAGGCCCTGCCTTTTCCTTAAATTCTAGAAAGTCAGGGCTGGAGCGTGGGGGCCTCTTCCCTAGCATGGTATGGCCCTGGGTTCCAACACCAGCACTGAAAAAAGGGGGAAAAGGAAAAAAGAGGGGGGCGGGAGGAAGGAAGGAAGGACAAAATTAAGAGTTCAAAGAAGCCAACCACAAAGTGCCAGACATGGTGGTGCACTCTTGTAATCCCAGCACTCAGGACGCTGAGACAGGAGGATCACCCCAAGTTTGAGGCCAGCCTGGGCTACACAGTGAGTTCAAGGCCGGCCTGAATTGTGCATAGCAAGACTCAAGAAAACAACAACAACAAAAAGAAAGAAGCCAACTAACTTATTTGATGAGAGGAGTGAGCCCCCTGAGGATCAGAGAAGTGACGAAAGGAGCCCAAGGTCCCAGGAGGCCACAGGAATAATTTATTCAAAAGCATTTATCACACACGCCACCCCGGGGTCTCAGCATGTGTGAACCCTAAAGCGATGTGGGTGTCTGCAGTGGGGGAAGGGCCAGGTCCTGGGGGGAGAAAGCGTGCAGCACTGGGTCTGTCTAGCATGCAGCGAGCTTGACACTGCAAGAACATCCGAGTATGGACTACAGTCACCCTGATTGGGGCCAAGACTCACCAGTGCAATAGAACATGGCTCCGGCCAATCTGAGCCTCTCAAGGCCTGAACTCCCCACCTGTGTAAGCCGGGACGGCCGTGCCGTGTCATGGGACTGCCAGGATTAGATGCAGTAATGGTTATAAAACACTCTGAGCAGCTTCCGTGCTCATCTCAGGTCAGCCCGAGTTGGCTACAGGCAACAGGCAACATTGTTGTTAAAGTGCCCTGCACCAGCTGGGGTGCGGCTCTGAGGCAAGCACTCGTCTATTGCTGGCAAGGCCTTGGGTCCCATCTAGAGCACCATACACACACACACACACACACACACACACACACACACATTCAGGCATGGTTCTGCTTGCCTGTGATCCCAGCCACGGGAGGCTGAGGGCTGAGGCAGGAAGATCACAAGTTTGAGGCCAGCCTGGGCAACTTAGTGGGACCCTGTCTTAAAAAATTTTTTTTAAAGGACTGGGTAGTAGAGAGAGAGAGAGAGAGACTCTTTCAAAGGATTTCGTCCCAATCCACATGTATTAAGTAAAAAACATTTGAAGGACAACTGCTGTGTTCTGATTCGGAACAAATGCTCAGGACAAAGCCATGAAAACATTTTCTCCAAAACCAGCAGGCCTTTCTTCATGTGACTTATGCTGCTAATTTTAGACCGATATTACATAGTTTGCATTTCCAGAGGAGTTAGAAAGAAGAAAATTGCTAATTCAAGTTTG